GTATCTGTTTTGCCAAGCTAGCCTTTACAGTAGGGCTGTCAAAGATCCAGCTATCTCTCTACTCAGGTGATCCCAAATAGACTTCTTGTTACTCAATTTTAACAGATTTATATGGCCACAAGGACTTATCTAGTGTTTGCACTGCCGATTTGTTGGTTTGCATTCCTCTGTGTAACTCCAACATTGCACAGATGCCTATAACCTGCCAGTCATAATAGTGTGACTGCCATTACAGATATTCTAAGCCAATCATTAGTAATAGTTGCTGTAATACGAATATTACATAGATGATTATCCAAATTTTCATCATTAATAGAATTTGAACACCCAATCTACCACTTAGAGAGTTGACAACCTGACTACTTCACTAGGTCACCACATCCCATTTGATTTTTGATATTGTTGTTTATTATTAATTATTTTATCTATAATAGGAATAAGAGGTATAAGTTTAGAAATAAAAAAATTCTTGATAATAGGTTGTTTTTGGTATGAGTTTTGGTGTTTTTGTTGATTTTGTTGTTTTTGTTTTAGTAATTCTAAGAATTTTTTGAAAATTAAAATTTTCTCTTCTTTAGATAGTGTAGTAAGTTTGATTACAAGAACAGTTCGGATTTGTGTAAAGTGAGTGCTTTAGTTTGAGTAATAGGTTTGAGTTTGAGTTTATAAATACATTTAGGATATACTGGAAATTTTTTAATAATAAGAATAGATTTGTTGAGAAGTAAGTGTATATTATTTTTTAGAAAAGCACATAAGATGTTTTTATTTTGACAAATAATACAAGTATGTGCATGATAGAAATATGCTTGAATTTGAGAAGTTTGTATCAAATTAGATGAAGTTCTTTGTTGAGTTGTAGAATAATTCAAAGAAAATGGTAATAGAGAAATGGTAGTTGTTTTTGCAATTGGTGATTGAGGAATAGTTTTTTTGAGTTGTCTAACTTGTTTGGATATAATATCAATATCCATATATATAAATTTTTGAGAAGAAGGAGGAGGAGTTGCTTGTTTAGGTGGAATGTTAAGATTACTAGAAGTAAAGAGAGTATGGAATTTTTGGTAATAACAGTGGACAATGGTAGGTTGAGTAGGAGTTTTAAAATAGTGAAGGGATTTAGCAATATTGCATCAAATGGATTAAATACAAATGACATTACTTTAAGTTATGTAGGTTGAATTTCTCAGATTATTGTACTATAACAATCATTGTACTTGGTATAGAAATAGTCCATAGCAAAATGATATGCTCTTGGGTGGTCAAAATAGGCATTCTGTTTGATAGAGAAGAAAAAATACTATAGGTATACTTAAGGATGGTAGTTAATATTACTTAGTAAAATTTTTTGTTATTAACTGTTAAAGTTTTTAATATATAAAATTTATAGTAGCAAGGGTTGATTTGACAGGGGTATGATGTAATACTGTGGCTACTGTGACTGCTGTGGCTTTGTGTAATCTTGAGAACAATTTTGTATAACTTATGTAGTACAAGATGTGGCTGGCATGATAAGTGTGATTTAATGTAACAATTTAGTTATATGTTCCAAAAAAGCCTTGTAATAGTGTACAAAATCAAATTAATAAAAGAAGAAAAACCAATAGAAATTATATGATATTTTAAGTAATATTAATTAGTTTATAATAAAAACAATTGTAGTAATAATTTAATATTACACAAAAATCATATAAGAGAAAAAAGGTTAGGGTAAATAAAAAAGAATTTTTTAAGAAGTTTATAAGAGAGTTAAAGCTATTTTTTAAGATATCTCCATTAATATTAGGTCTATTGGGTTTGTTTAGACATTGTTTTGATCGGCAAATGAGCTTTACAACTTTTCTTAGGGCTATAGAGGGGTTGTAAAGCTAGTTGTCAAGAAATAATTAAAGAAAGAGTTTAAAAGCCCAAAGACCATTATTGCAGTATTAAACTGCGAGTTTATAAGCTATCTCTTTAAAATTTTAGAATATATATAAAATTAGTAGCTGAATAAGTTTACTTAAGATGCCAAAGTTAGTTATCTTAATAAAATAACCAGATATTAATGATTTTAGTACTGATGAATTTTAGTTATTTTTGTGTAAAAATGATTTATAAAAAGAGTTTTTCCTAGATCCAAATTTTACACAAATTAAGATTACAAAGTAAATAATTTTTTCTATTATGTGTTTAAAAGATTTTTGTGTAAATAAAGTAATAATTATACATAAATAAGGATCAGAAAAATTTTTATAAAAGCAATATAAAAATAAATTTTATAACCTTTTAAGTATAGTAATAATAATTTAATTTATATTAAAAAATTTTAACTAAAAAAACAAATACAACCTGTGCATCTAAAAAAATATAATCCAATATTATAATATTAAAAAAAAAGTTGATCTGATTAAATACTTAAATGATTACATATAGTCTTGATTTACACAGTATTGCACATCTGCACTGTATATATACATGTACAAACATATCTTAATACAACTATTAACTAAATTAAATACTGTTGCATAGTTCTGTTTATTTTTCGGAACTTTAGTCTTTGTTATTTTATACTTTTTAAATAATTAATACAATTTCTCTTTAATAAAATATTTATTTAATATCTTTCAAAAGATTATCAAATATTTTTTTATATTTAATTTAATATTATAAATATGCAAATTAATTTTATAATATTATTTGTTTTATTAAATTTTTTGTAGGTTTTATTAAGAATTAGCTAAAGGTATTAGCATTTTATATTTTTTTTCTATTGAAAATTATTAAATTATCCATAGTAGATTAGTTTAAAAATTAATTTTACAATATACAGTTAGACCTCTTTATAATCATACCCTATATAGTCACACCTCTATATAAGCATTCGATTTTGTGCAACAAACTTAAACATATTATAAAAACCTCAATATAATCACAAATTGCTTATAATCACTATCACAATATAATTTAATAAATTTAGAAATTTTATTAACAAATAAACCTCTTTGTAATCACTAACTAATTATAAATTAATAACTTTGATTGGCTATAAATAATATTATGTAATCCTTAAATATATCGCTATTGGCATTTCATTTTACAGTGTAATATACATACATACTGGGACTATTAGATTTTAAAATAGAGCCAATGATATCATGAAAACTGCAAACTAAATTTGGTAAAATTTTTTTCTTGAAATAAACCAATTTTAATCAGATTTGTTATATGGTTGTTGTGATATTACTAGTACTATTTTAGAAACAACTAAACTCAGGTGGCAACAACTAGGGTAAAATTGCCATCCAAAAAGTTCACTAGCCAATTAAATTTCAATATCAGGTGTAATGTAGCGCAATCAGAAAAATTCAAAACAAACATTCATTTTGTTAAAAGCTCAAAATTGAGTTTATGAAAAGACCTTCTGCATATTAATAAAAAGTTTTCCTTGTAAAATTTTGTTACGTATTGTATATACTAATCCTAACATTAGAGGCAAGATACTAACCCTAACTTAACAACATGAAATTTATTTCGAAATTTTTTTTAGGTGGTGATTTTACTCTCATAGTGGCAACGTAGTATGATCAACAATCATACCCTGTACCCAATCGATGCATGCATTCGAGACCAAACCAAATTAAAATGAAACATGCATAATTGTCACCAATCGTATATAATCAAAACAGAATAGGATATAGTCATGATGATTAAGTTTTAGTATGGTGAGATTGAAGAAACAATCAGTCTGAGGATTGGTACAAAAAATCTAAAAGAATAGAGTAAAATAATTAGCAAAAGTTAGCATATAAAGGACAAACAAATTGTAAAGAGATACTTATCTTATGATGGGCCCAGTTGGACAAAATATCATAATAAAGAAATTGTTAATTAAATAAAATGTTAGTAAAAATAAACAGTAAAAGTAGACAGTGAAAGTATACTCGCCAAATTGTAATGAGCTGCTCTAATTTACAATGTATCGGGATATGATTAGTTGCATCCACCAGGAATAAAGTAAAGCAGAGATAAATTATAATCTCTAATATCTACTAATAATGATTGATAATGTTGTGTAATTTTAGAGCTTATTATTACAGTAATTTAGAGTCTATTGTAACGTTATGTAATTTTAGAGTTTGTTATTACAGACTCTCAGTGTAATTTTGAATCTATTTTATGAATCAATGATGCAATCGCATATGAAAATAAATAATAAAAGGTTCGATCTATAAGATCGAACCTCCTCTTGATTTTTTTTTTGAATTACCAGAACCAAAGTAATAACGTTATAGAACTTTGAGAGGAGGAAGTTAGGCGGCAGTTATTATAGGTGTGGTTAGGTGCATCAGAGAAGGAACGATGAGAAAAACGAGAGCAAGTGCATATAAACATAAAATAAGGCCTAAACAAATATAAGTGCATGGACAATTAAGTAATTCATGTTGGTATGTATTACTAAGTATATTCATTAGTTTAGAATATCTTGCTAGATGCAAATATTTTAGAGATCAATACTATGAATGCATATAAATATTTGAATCGAATTTCTATATCTAGTATGCAATAGAAGATTAGGAATAGTATGTTTTGTCAATAAAATCACATTGTTGATTACTTATAGGTGAATTATGACCAGGTAGAAGTTAGCGAATCTATTTTTATATGTTTCTTTATCATTAATTAAGCAATAACAATTGGTGTTATCAAATTAATAATTAAAAACAGTTAGCACAAACATGATTGTGTTAGTGGTTTCAAAATCTTATGAATAATACAAGGAGATAATTCTTGATTCAACTATAATTATGAAAGATTGAAACTTACTAACATACCAATGATTGTGTCTGCATATCTTGCAGTTTATTTAATAAACGGATCAGTAGAATTGGATTAGTAAGATTACAAATTCTTATAACAATAACAATATAAAACCATAATATCATACATCGAAGCTTTTGGTCTATAATAAATTTAAATTTATATTGTTTTCAATTTTTTTATTTTTTGCTCTTAATAACATGTCTAATCAACAAAAACAACATCGTACCACTATTAGTGATGATCTTAAATATCAAATTTGTGAGTGGGCAGAAACTAATAAGAACAAGAGACATCACGAGATTGCTAGTTACTTTAATGAAAGGTATCCAGATTTATCAATCAACCAAAGTACTATTTCAAAAATTTTAAAAGAGAGTAATAAATGAATGGCTGTAACTAGCACTGAAACTTCAAGTAAAACATTCAGATAGTTTTTAATAATGCAATACTTAAAAAAAATTTCATAAAATTCTCAAATATTATTAAACTTTAAAGGCATAGAAAACTCAAATTTCCATACTTTAATTGAGCAATGAACTTATGGGTAGAAAATATAATAGCAGGGGGTATTACTTTGACAGACTTACTAATTAAAGAAAAGGCCAAACTTTTTGCTTCTGCATTTGATTTACTGGAAGATGAGTTGGTTTTTTCTAATAGTTGGTTGGAAAAATTTAAAAACTGTAATAATATCCAAAGGTATAAAATATATGGAGAATCAGAAAGCACACTATTAGAATCTTTTTCAGAGGAAAGGCTTAAATTACATAGGCTCTTGAGTCAATATTTGCTTGATCAAATTTATAACATTGATGAGACAGGGCTTTATTATAGAATGTGACCAAATCAAACACTTTCATCAAGACCTATTCTTGGTCAAAAAAAAGATAAAACTAAAGTAATGGTTCTTTTTGGCATCAATGCAACAGGAACTGATAAACTAGTATCATGGGTAATTGGTAAATCACCACATCCAAGATCCTTTGGACGAATGAATTTAAACCGACTTCCAGTTTACTATCATTCAAATCCTAAAGCATGGATGAATTCACTTTTATTTGAGGAGATACTTCGCTATATAGACAACATATTTAGAGCTCAAAATAAAAAAATTTTACTTTTAGTTGACAACGCACCATCACATTTTGATCCACATGATCAGGATGACAATGATGATGGAATTAATGATGAATATGATAATTTTGGTAAAGAAAATTCTACTTCAATTAGATCGCATGGAAATTTTCATAAAGGTCATGCTAAAATGTTAAAATTAATGTATGGTAATTATTATTTTAAGTAAAACTTGTATTTCTTAAATTTTAACTTTAATACAGAATAAAGTTACCTAAAAAATTTGAATTTAATATTAATAGGTTCTAATGCTAAACATAAAAGTAAAACTACACAACCAGATATTTTTCAAATTGATTTAACTTATGTTAGGATGGCTTTTTTATCACCAAACACTACAAGCCATCTTTAACCACTAGATGCAGGAATCATCGCAAGTTTTAAAGCACATTATAAACAAATTTATTGTCATTATATTTTAAACCTTTTTGATAATGGCATGGATATAAATAGAAACAAATTAACTATTAAACAAGCCATTGATTATATAGTAGACGCATGGAGTAATGTATCTGAAGAAACTATATCTAATTGCTGAAAAAAAACAGGTATATTACCTGTCATTACTGAAAGTGATATAACGAATGTGATGCAAATTCAGCAGGATATCTTAATTCATGAAAAAGAAGATATTAATTAAATGATCATTAATAATTTAAGTAATAATGATCCTTATGCTAATTTATTAGCAAATGTGTTAAATGATTTTTTTCATAACTTGGATGAAAAAGTTTCAACAGAAGATTTCTTAAATGAAAATGATATTATAAGTTTAATTCAAGATGAAATGCGTGCTAAAAATGAAAGCCCAAGTCATTCTGATGATTCTGAAGAGGGACCTAAATTAGTGTCATTAAGTGATGCAAGTAAATCATTATGAACTTGGATAACCTTTTTTGAGCAACAACAAACTGGTAAATTTAAAACAGAAGATATTCATATTTTTAAAAAATACTTTAAAATAGTTAAAAGGCATGAATTTCAAGCCAAAAAACAGGTTGAGATAACAGACTTTTTTACTTATAAAAAGTAAATCTTTTATTCTTATTATTTGTAACAGTCTTCTTATTAGAAAAGTTTTTTTTCATTAGCATTTTTATGTAATAACAGGTTTCATTTATCTATATCAAACTCAATGTTTGTACATTTTAAAAGTTATCTAATTAGTTAACTAGAGTTAGTGTCATAAAAAATTTGATGGTAACTGTGAAGGTCTATTCAATGGTAAAATTGGTTAAGGGCCACAATGTGAAAAGATATGTGATGCTTAATTAAAGCTATACTATTGTTTTATGAGCTGTTCACATTGTTAGATGCAAATAAGCGATATCAAGTAAAACCTATAATATTGATATGGTTTTTTTAATTTAAACTTAATAAAAAACACTTAACAATTGTTATAGTCTTAAAAAATAAATGTTTAAGACTATGTATAATGATAATGGTTCTGATTAAATACTGTAACTGATAATTTTATTCTGTACTTCTCACTTTCATATTTGTTCAATTCATAAGTTGAAACTTACCTTCCATAATTGTACTGCCACAGCCATGTTAATTTTACTTTAATAGCTATTGTATATATATATTTTTAGTGGCGTAATACATGTGAATTACATTTATGATACGAAAATTACGTAAACATGCTAGAAATCACATAAATATGATAATAATCACGTACATGTTATAGAAAACACACAAATGTAAAGGAAATAACATAAACGTTAGAATTATCATATAAACACTCTGTAAATTAAAATGTATATAAGAGCATGCCTTCACCTTTAGTTAAAAAAAAAAAAAAGGCATGCTCTCTAAATCCCTCAAAACAAAAATCCTATAAATTCACACTCCTTTGTATAATAAATG